TCCAGTGTATTATTAAATTCTTCCCAAATTCTATTAATTATAAATGGATCTAATTTATATAAACCAAAGGAAATATTCATATTATTGTCAAAACTGCTTTTTATGAAACAAGATTCAATTATATTCCTGTCGACAATGGACTTGCTTGATACTACTTTCTCAACTTTTTGAAAATCAATTGGATGGTTAAAATCTCTTACATGAATAAATAGAGCATTGGAATCTTGTCCAGTTCTAATGCTATATTTATGTTGTTTTAATCTTAGTTCGAGATTTTTACCAGTTTGACCGTAATAAACTTTATCGCAAATTTTACAAGGAATCTTATACACACATCCATCAGCATTTTGGGGGGAATTCTTTATCAAAAGTTTTTTTACTGTTATCAAGATTTTTGAATACAACTTTAATATTAAAAGTGTTAAGAAGAGACGGCATATCAACCAAGTTTTCATGGTAAGGGAGAACCAACATATTTTTAGTTGAATAAGGCTGGTTGTCCCTTTTTTGGATTGTAAAAAGTATTTCTAGCAACTTTAAAAGATTTATCAATTACATTTCTTGGGTATTTTAAATCATTACCTATTTCATAAATTTTGGATATTTCCTCATCTATGAACTCAGGACTACAAATTCGTAAAGCTCTCAAAAACATTGATGAGAAAACAGACAGTTTGACTCTATCTTGATGCGAGGAATAATAGTGGACATAGGAACAGTTATTTGTAGGTTTTCTGTAAATTTTAAATTTGAATTCATTATTATCCTTAATAATTAAAACATCTAGAAAAGGCAATGAGTTATTTTCTTCAAACTCAACAGTAAAGTTTATAGAATGGGCTAAGCTATTTAATTTTCCTGGGAAATGGAATTTTTTGAAACAAGGTTGCTTAACACAATCCTCCCTAATAGAGCTAAATGGTTCAGATATGTTGATGATATTTTGTGTCTTATGCCCAAAAATGTAGATATACACCATTTCCTAGGAAAATTAAATAGCATAGCCCATTCTATAAACTTTACTGTTGAGTTTGAAGAAAATAACTCATTGCCTTTTCTAGATGTTTTAATTATTAAGGATAATAATGAATTCAAATTTAAAATTTACAGAAAACCTACAAATAACTGTTCCTATGTCCACTATTATTCCTCGCATCAAGATAGAGTCAAACTGTCTGTTTTCTCATCAATGTTTTTGAGAGCTTTACGAATTTGTAGTCCTGAGTTCATAGATGAGGAAATATCCAAAATTTATGAAACAGGTATTGATTTAAAATACCCAAGAAATGTAATTGATAAATCTTTTAAAGTTGCTAGAAATACTTTTTACAATCCAAAAAGGGACAACCAGCCTTATTCAAATAAAAATATGTTGGTTCTCCCTTACCATGAAAACTTGGTTGATATGCCTTCTCTTCTTAAGACTTTTAATATTAAAGTTGTATTCAAAAATCTTGATACAGTAAAAAAACTTTTGATAAAGAATTCCCCCCAAAATGCTGATGGATGTGTGTATAAGATTCCTTGTAAAATTTGCGATAAAGTTTATTACGGTCAAACTGGTAAAAATCTCGAACTAAGATTAAAACAACATAAATATAGCATTAGAACTGGACAAGATTCCAATGCTCTATTCATTCATGTAAGAGATTTTAACAATCCAATTGATTTTCAAAAAGTTGAGAAAGTAGTATCAAGCAAGTCCATGGTCGACAGGAATATAATTGAATCTTGTTTCATAAAAAGCAGTTTTGACAATAATATGAATATTTCCTTTGGTTTATATAAATTAGATCCATTTATAATTAATAGAATTTGGGAAGAATTTAATAATACACTGGACAAATAATCTTTAAAATTTCTTATTTCTTGGGTAGAATAGTTTGTGGGGTGAGTTGTGCCAAGGACCTATCCCAAGTTGGGTCGGCGCCGTCAGGTGTATAAACCGTTGTGGGATCTGATAGTGGAGGTGCCGCCAACCCCTATATAGCATCCTTGGTTGCTTTACTTTCATAGTTTCCTTTTAGAATGGTGAGTAGTACGAAAGCGCTTGGAATTCTCTATTCTTTCAGAGTGGGTTTGTTTTGCATATTCTGAAATCACCTGTTTACTGTGATCTTATTGCATATCTATATATATATATTATAATATATAATATGATATATAAATAAATATTATATAATATATATATAAATATATATATATATAATATAAATATATAAATTTAGTAATAAATATATTTAATATATATAAATATTATATACTATCTATATATATAATATAATATATATATATATATATATATATATGTATATATTTTTTTTTATCACACTGCCGATTCCCCACTAAGGCAGGGTGCCCGAAAAAGAAAAAACTTTCAACCATCATTCACTTCCCATCACTGTCTTGCCAGAGGGTGCTTTACATTACAGTTTTAAAACTGCAACATTACATAACACCCCTCCTCAGAGTGCAGGCACGGTAACTCTCCCCATCTCCAGACTCAAGTCCGGCCTGCCGGTTTCCCTGAACCCCTTCATAATTTACTTGCTCCACACTCCAACAGCACGTCCAAGTATTAAAAACCATTGTCTCCTTTCACTCCTAATCAAACAGCCACGCATTGCCTGCTGGAAGTCCAAGCCCCTTCCTCAACACAAAACCATCCTTAACCCCCTCTGAGCCCGACTTCCAAAAACCTTTTCAGGCCCGACCCCTACCCCGCCTTCGTCCTTACCCTACAACTGATACACTCTTGAAGTCATTCTGTTTCGCTCCATTCTCTCAACATGTCCAACCACCTCAACTAACCCTTCCTCAGAGCTCCCCTCTGGACAACAGTTATTGGCATAGCCCCACCTCCTCCTTACTTTCCAAACTACGAATTCTCTGCATTATATTCACACCACACATTGCCCACAGACATGACATCTCCACTGGCCTCATCCAGCCTTCTCCTCGATGCAACATCTTCACCCATGCTATCATCACCCATTTAAAGCGTTGGTAAAACTAAGAATACCTCATACATCCCCTCCTTCGCCTATAAGGAACAAAGTTCTTTGCTCCACAGACCTCCTAGGCACCACTCACTCTTTTCCCCCTCATCATTTATGATTCACCTCATCTTTCATAGACCATACCGCTGACACGGTCCACTCCCAAATATCAGAAAACCAATACCTCCTGCGCATTGGTAAACATCTCTTCCGCTCCACATCTGGACGATGAAACAAGCAATAGGCTTATCATTCATCGTAAACTCGTTTTTGTATGGACTCCTCATACCCTTACTCTTACCTGGATCACCTTTAATTTTCTTCCTATTGCACGACCCTACCACATTCATCCCACCAAATCTCTCTGCAACTTCTCTTCAGAATCTCCCAAGAGCACAGTGTCACAGCAAAGACAGCTGTGACAACTCCCTCTTTGTGTGTGATTCTTTATCTGTTAACTCCACGCCCTCTGGCCAAGACCCTGGGCAATTTACTTCTCTTACTAACCCCATCTATAAATATATTAAACAACCACGGTGAACATCCACATACCTTGTCTAAGGGCCTACATTCCAGGAAAGAAATTTCCTCTTTCCTACATACTCCTTATAACTTGAACCTCACTATCCCCTCGTAAAAACCTTTCACTGCTATTCAGTAACCTACCTCCTACACATGCACTTGCAACAATCTGCCACAATTGCCCCTCTAACCACCCTGTCAATACGCCTTTTCCAAATCCATAAATGCCCACAAAGAACCTCTTTAAGAGAGAGCCTTACGCAATACTGTTCACTTCCATGTTTCAACTGTAAACATATATATATATAATATATATAGTATATATATATATCTATATATATATATATATATATATATATTATATATAGATATATATATATATAAATATTTATATTATATATATATAAATATATATATATAGATATATAAGCAGAACCACCCACTCTGAAAGAATAGAGAAATTCCAAGCGCTTTCGTGACTACTCCACATATCAAGGAACTAAGAAAGTAAAGTAATCCAAGGACGCTATAATAGTGGTCCTAGGCCACACCTCACTATAAGAAAACCCAACAAACGGTTAAACACACTTGACCGCGCCGCTCGACCCACCCTGGATAGGTCCTTGGCACAACTCACCACACAAACTATTCTAACTATACTACACAAGAATTAAGAAATTTTAAAGATTAATATTTGTCAGTGTCATTAATACATGCTTCCCAAATTCTATTAATTATAAAATGATCTAACTATAATAAACCAAAGGAAATATTCATATTTTTGTCAACACTGCTTTATATATATATAGATATCTATATATATATATATATATATATATATATATATATAATTATATATATATATAATATATATAATATATTATTAGATATATATATATATAAACACTAACTCGGGTCGAAGTTGATTCGAATCGACGAACCATTGGGAACAAGTAACGCAGTGCTCAAACAACCATACCAAACTGGCCCAATACCACACTGGCCCAATACCTTGGCGCCCAGCTAACGTAGACGTTTTGGGTCCAAGGCAGTTAGCATTTGACAGGAGGCTTTCAGCTTTTCATCTCCCTCCCAACTGCAAAAATCGACCGACGATCAGGGGAGGAGATGAAAAGCTGAAAGCCACCTGCCTGAATGCTGCTGCCTTCGACCAATAACACAGCATTAGCCTGGCACCAAGTATTAGGATCAGTTTGGTACGGTGTAGAGCACTGCGTCCCTTGTTGCAGGGTTCGTAGGTTCGAATCTCCTTCGACCAGAGAATAGTGTTTGTGAATATTTCGCTCTGTTCTGTGAATTTTAAAAAGAAAACAACAAACACACAAACACACACCACACAACCACATAGCATCCAGATTTCATATTTCTTGGCCGGTACGAGGCGTTTGACACAGTTCCACACAAGAGATTAGTGAAAAAGCGAAGGACCAAGGGGGTATAACAAGTGAAGGCCACTAAATGGATCAGGAGAATACCTGTCAGGAAGACAGCAGCGCGAGTCATGCGGTACTAGGCGGGTGTTCAGAGTGGGCGCCTGAGACGAGTGCGATTTCCACAGGGGTCAATCCTAGGACGGTGCTGTTTTCAGGTATTCGTGAACGACAGACGGAAGGAATAGACAACCGAAGTGTCCCTGTTCTTGCAGAATGTAAAGTTAATGAGAAGAAACAATCGACGAGGATCATAAACTACACAGGTATCACGACAGCTGCAGACCCTGGACCAGCAAATGGTTCCGGAGATCAACCCCACCAAATACAGAAGTCTATGAAGAATGAGGTGACGAACAAAGACGACCCGCAGACGGAGTACAGTCTAGGGTGCCATAGACTGCAAACCTCACTCAAGGACAAAGATCTTGTGGGAGTATAACATCAGGCACATCTCCTGAGGCGCATCATCAACCATTAACTTCTCCAGAAACCTTTGAACAGCATTCCGACATCTTCATAAGGAATCGTTAGACCCTGTACCATGTGTACGCTCTCTTTAGGGCCCATATGGGATATGCGTCGCCAGTTTGGAGCCCACATCTAGCCAAGCCCGTTAAGCGAAAGTAAGAAAGTTCAAAGTTTTACACCAATACTAGTCCAGAGCATAGGGGGTATGTCCTACGAAGAGAGGAGTTAAGGAAATCGACCTGACGTCACGGAGGACAAGAGATAGGAGAACATGATAACGACATATAAAAATACTGAGAGGAATTGAGAAGGTGGACAGAGATAGAATGTTTTCCAGAGAAGGGACACAGCACCAGAGTATCAGCAAGTGCATAGTATGGGAAGCGATATAGTGGAAGCAGGATCCATTCATAGCTTAAAGGCATAGGTATATAAAGCAACATGGATCAGGAAAGTTCCCCCAGTAAGCGGCCCGTGAAGAAGTGGGGCCAGGTGCTGATGACACGACCTCTGCACCCACAAAATAGGTGAGTATCATACTAGGTGAGTCAACTAGATGATTCAAAAGCTAGTGATATTCAACTAGGTGAGAAAAACTAGGTGAGAAAACTAGGTGAGTACAACTAAGGTGAGTACATAATTACATATCGTAGAGGAGTATCACGAATAACACAAGAAGTGTCAGCGCTGACAAGAAGTGTGGTTACAGATGGCTGGCAGTCACTGGTTCTTCTTACCCCCCTCGTTCTGCTCTGCTATTTTCTACAAAAGTCCAAGCTCTTTTGTCCTCGTGCTCATGATAGAGTTTTTATGTTAAAAACAAGTTATATTAATTCTATCAAGTACCTCTGTCACTTCACTTAGGTCAATGAAAAACAAATTCAGTTTTTATCTTTAAAGACGATGAAAAAATTCGAGGTATTTCATGACTTAGTACCTGACACCGATGAAAGCAAAGGATTTATAGGGTTACAGTTAGGTGAACAAAGTTACGTACGAGTGTATCTCGCCAATTAGCGGACGGTGTAATCGAGCATCACCACTCGTTCTGATGCCAACTTGTTTTTTTTATACGGCATTAATAAATAAATATTAAAGACGAATAAATTAATTTTTAAAGCATTAACTAGAAGTAAATCTAAAATATATTTTTACAGTAAAGAATGTCAGTCAGTTATAAAACGAGAGTCCATGTAACCATAGACAGAACTTAAAGAAGAATGCACTGTTCTACTGCTTGTATCATTACCACAGATATGTAACAGATTGAGTCAGAATACTGAAAGCACTAACGAATATACAGCTTGTCCTTGTAGCTATCACAGTTTTCAAATGACTCCACCATTCCGTTCCAAGGACGCTCATGAGAACAACAAGATTGATCCCAACAAAGGAGCAAGTTACTCAGGGAGTAAATACCGGGATGGACAAAATATTAATAGTATTTTTCAAGAAATAAAGAGAACACTAAGCATGAAGTTTGTCTACTGTTTTGAGACAGAGTGAGGTTTATGGCCTCGACTGGTTGTTCATGGGGTTTTAAACATTGTCGAAGAAACGCATGTCATTAAGGCTATTTAAATCAAAATATTGCCACAAGGCAATACACTCCAATCTCCCTGAAATAGAAATTTAATGTAAATTTCTTAGCACATATATTACACACTGAAACATAAACAACTTTCTCAGTTTATATAAGTTTTTGTCTTGATTTAATTCACCTCCTGACTGTAAAGTTACAGACAGAGAGGGGGTACTTTGATGCTTGTACAATTAATTGTATCTAGCAAGTCCTTTGGATCATATTTGATTACCTTACATTCCTCAGACACTACACAGATAACCAGTACATAGGAGAAGAAGCTTACGCCTGGGGGCCCTCAGAGATTAGGGAGCCCTGAAGCTTAAGCTTCAGTAGCTTCATAGTAGAACCCCCCCGGGAAAAACACCTAGTGATTGTTACTTAAGGGCGTTCTTGTACCGCAGCTGATCCACAGCGTTTTCATGGTGAGACAGTATTTAATAGCTGCGGTAGTGTTCTGTTGAAGGAAGCTATATGCACGGATATTTACATATCAACACCACTATGTGGCCCTGCCAACCCATGGGCCAGTAGGCCTGCTGCAGTGCTTTTTCTTTTTATGTTCTATGCGCAGAAAAATGAAAACCGTGGCAAGGGTCAAGATATATCATATATTTCAGTTTGCGCACAGGAAATGCACTGATATATCAACACGTTAAATCCCAATGAATGAAAAATTAAACAGTTGCAAGCATAAATAAAATGTCATCCTCGGGGGATGAATAATGCATTTAAAGTATATAGAATATTATAAAGGTAGAAGACCTTAATATAACTGTCAATATCTTGTTGCAGATGAAAGCAGTTTTTGATTCTCACTGTGGTGCTGCAGCAGCAGCTCAGTACTACGGCACCTACGGACATGGTGGATATGGTGCTGGTCCACTTGCCAGTAAACTTGTAGGCGGTGGTTTACACTGGAGGTACAAGTGTTGGTTTTTTGGCGGTGGTCTGGGCGTTTTGGGGGTGGTCTTGGCCCTTGGCGGTGGTCTTGGGTTGGCGGTGGTCTTGGCGTTGGCGGTGGTCTTGGCGTTAGAGGTGGTCTTTGGGGTTGGGGGGTGGTCTTGGCCCTTAGAGGTGGTCTGGTCGGTGGGTACGGAAAGGTGAGTAAAAGCAATGAAACATCAAATGAGTAAAATTATTAATTTTGTATATTTAGAAGCATTCATAACACGAAACAAACAGTAAAAAATAAAGACATGAAGTATATATAAGAGTTTCAAGAAAAACACAAAGTGCAAAGAAAATCTTTGATGCAAGAGGTTCCTTGGATCAAATAACGAGGTTGCTAAATTATTTCTTGAGACCAAAAAATATCAAAGTTAATCGAATGTGTAATGTTTACAGGTGGACTTGAGTGTTGGTGAGAGCGACTACCACTTCTCGTGGCGTCACGACGGAGGCAAGAAGTATGACTGGCATACTGCTAACTATTACTGCTACAGTCTGGGCAAGGGATGGCAGGGCGTCAGCATCGAGACTCCAGAAGAGGACAAAATCATCTCAGGCATCATCTACAAAGGTCAGTAAAACAACAACAATTTTCTAAGTTCACTTTACTTATATTGGTAAAAAATTTCCGCATGAGAAAGTTGATAAAAAAATCATTATTCATAATTATAATAATAATAATAATAATAATAATAATAATAATAATAATAATAATAATAATAATAACGAAAATACCCTTATTCACACTTTTGTTATTAATCATAATTTGTTGTTATCATGAAAGGGAATGCTGTTTATTATTTTCTTCTCTGATTATGATCAATACTTGCTTGGCATTATTCTCTTATTTAACAAATAAGATACATGTGCAATAAAGATTTTCAGGTATTCCACATATATCTTACTAATGAATATGCCTTTATTATCTCCTGTTATTATTATTATTACAATCAAGGGGGAAGCGCTAAACCCGGAGGATTATACAGCGCCTGGGGGGGATGTGGAAGGCATTCAGGCTTAATTTGGGGAACTGGAGCACAGATCCAATTCCCTAAATCAAGAGCCCCTCACCGACATCAAGGAACCTTCCTTGAGGGGTATTATCTCCTGTAATGATTATTATATTCGTTTTCTTGCCCAGACAAGCTGGAATACATCTGGACTGGTGGTTACCGTAGTGGCTACGACCACTACGAAGGGATAGCCAGAAGGCCAGGCTTCGCCTGGCCTTCTGGCTATCCCTTCTACGGAATTAACTGGTCTTACACTGGCAGGTGAGTTCTGCACTCATCCACTTCTCCTTTGTAAACTTTAAGCTGAAGTAATTGGTATTTCTATACCGGATAACTATTTAATGGGCTGTTTTGTGTATGACTGACAGCCCTGGAAGTTGTCTGAGGCAATAATTAATAATTATAGCTATATAACTACTGTTTCTGTGTTGATCGAGAGTAATTAACTCTGAAGTGAAGATCATGAGGAATATTTGCTTTATTTTAAAATATTTGAGCGGTGTTCTTTATATATATTTTAATTAATTTAAGGAAAACAAAATGTTTGTATAAGGTTCTGTAATCCAGTTTCAGTATTAAATTCCTATGATCAACAGAAGCGGTATTTTAAAAAGGTATAAAATACCGACAGGTTGTTAGGTACCTAACACAAGCAGTATTTATATATATTTTAAGCGTTTCGATGAGGAGCTAAATAATAAGCATGATAATGTATGGCCCGGTATGTGTTGTTTTCGTGATGAAAACAACACATACCTGAGCATGGGTAGGTAATGGGGAAAATAGATAAAAAATGCTGCTCACTGCATTTGAATTCATCATGTCTGCTGTGCTGAGAAAGACACTAATAATTTGTCTTTCTGCCTCAGTGAGGGATTACCTCAACCAGACAACGCTGAGGAAGGGAAGGAGTTCTGTCTGGCAGTTCTTAACAACTTCTACAACGACGGCATCAAAAAGGCACGACGTTGCTTGCTACCACCCAAAGGCCAACATCTGCGAGCGTCGCGCTTACAAGCTCTATGGCTGAGCTCCCTTGACTCCCTCCCACCTCACGTGGGCTCATATTGCTGATTCTTTGAGACAAAGTGGAAACTTGATAGTCTTGGATGTTGATCACATATTTTATATCTAAAAATCTAATAAATTTACCAACCCTTTATATAATGTTTATATTGAAACCCAAGAATGGAGAGCACTTAAGCATTATATCTCTTTTGTGTTAGTGTATAACGTGAGGCATTAGAGTCAATGACCACCGTAATTATCAACAGGTTGGACCTAAGTGATGCCAGAACACTCCCTGTACGTAATACATAATAAATTGGTCCATAGGCCCCTTCACTATAAATTCACATTTTAATTTAACATGACGTAAAATGTTATGTTTCATGGAGTGTAATTTTTAACTACGTTGACATTCACAACTGATGCAACATCCCCCTTACTTCTGATTTGTAAACAATGTGCTACAAGTTTTGGTTTTTCATTTGATGAATCGTAAAGTTTTTGCTGCAGATGCGACAGGTTGAGAGACAGATCTCCTTATAATTATTACTTCTACTGTCGCCAGTATTATATTCGCCTGTAAGCGACTGAAGAAGCCTGTTTAGCATGCAGAATGCCTCTTCACTTTATACTGGGATTCCTATTTATGATAAAGTAGACATTTGTGCAACACTTGGTTATCTATATTGTGGAAATTTTCGTGAGCCAGTGGCTTCTTCAGTCCAATACAAATAATAATGGTTGAAGATCAGGAGTTTGAGGTAATCAGTCCCTTAGCCTGGAGTTGATGTGATCAATCTAACAATCTTGATAAGAGTACAGCATATGTACGAAGGAGCTTATGTACTGTAGATAGGTGAGGTGAAGCAGTCGTAGACGGTGTTACATTGGACAAATCCACAAGTCATGCCCTTGGTAACTGACACTAAGAAACTGGTTTCAAAAGACACATGAGAAAACACTAAGACATACTTATTAGAAAACGTTTCGGTCCTGGAATCTTGATCCAATAAATATGTCCTAATGTTTATTCAGTGGCCTTTAACATTAAAACAAATTGCCTTCAATTCCCCCAGCACTCACAACTCATACGTTATTGGCACTTCACCATAATAATAATAATAATAATAATAATAATAATAATAATAATAATAATAATAATAATAATAATAATAATAATAATAATAATAAAGGATAATATTATTATTATTATTAACAATAATAATAATAATAATAAAGATAATCATATTGTCGTTGACGTTATTGTTATTGCTAGTAGTTGTGCCATCTGTTGTGCTCCAGATGACATTAGCAGATCCTTGGATATATAGTAAAGTAATCCCAGGGAATTCCCCCTTCTTCCCTTAACGGTGGAGGAGCCCAGAACACTGTCGCCTCCCGGAGCAGGTCAACGGCACTAGTGTTCAGAACTTCAGGTGAGTAAGACTCATGTCACGTGGTATTTAGTCCTGGAGAGAAATTAACCCATCCTCCTTGATGTCGAGTTGCACGAAACAGGAAATGTTTTTTTCCCTTATATGTTGGATGGGTTCTCGATGACCCTGAAGATACAATGTTGACCAGATATAAGGCAGCTGAGCCTCGCAGTGGGCACACTCCCGGGCAGACACAAGAGGAGGTAAGTTCTCCTTAGTGTTGTGTCGGTGATGTAAGTAAACTGTGACCCTGTTTGCATAAATGCATTCACGCCAATATCACAATATCTGGGTGAAAAGCAGTGTACAGAAAACTGAGAAAATATATAAATCACAATACCGTGGATGGAACTACAAATAACCCACACTTTGTAGGGAAACTTTTGATAGCGTTTTCCTTTATCTTTGCCCGTTTTCAAATCACATCTAAGTGAAAACGTTATCTAAAGTCTCATCTCCAAAGTTTGGATTATTAATCAAAAGTTGAGATCCACCTTGGCCTGTTTCATTTCTAAGTTTGTGCTTCGAAATGTGTTGATATATGCAGATAACATGTACGCCAGTAAACACAATTTCGATTAATAACTAAAAATATCTGTGTTGCAGATGAAGGCAGTGTTGATACTCACCGTAGTTGCTGCGGCAACCGCTCAGTACTATAGTCCCTATGGCAGAATTGGAAGTAGCGGTCTTGGAGGAGGAGGTTTAATTGGTAGCGGAGGTCTTGTTGGAGGCGGTGGTCTAGTCGGAGGAGGTGGTCTTGTTGGAGGCAGTGGTCTTGGTCTTATCGGTGTGGAATCGGGCAGTGGTGTGGGTGTTTAGGTACGGCGGCCTGTACGGTACTGGTGAGAGATTAATTCGAGCATTAAAAAACTTGCTCATTTTTGACTACTTGAACTTTAACCATTGTAGGAAACAGTGCATGTATCCACTCTCTGGTTTAACTTCCTCTGAATATTAAGTGTTGTAAACCAGAAAGAATGTTTCTTTTGCTAAATTTTCGTAGCAAACTTTTAAAACGGTGGATAACGATTTTACTTAAGCGGATCGTCATGTATATCAGGAGTATTACCCCAGTGTATACCAGAAGAATCGTAAACAAATGTTTGTTTAAAAGTCAACGTACATAATTTCTTTGAACAATTAACGAAGGATTTCTGTAGCCATATACTAATTAATTTGTAGCCTCGGTCAGACGACCAGAAGCTCCAACGGCGGGTCCGTCAATCTAAGACCTGCGTTCAAGGGGAAAACTTGTCCTGTTTCCTGACAAACTTTATCTAACTGGAGAATTCTATCTCTTAAGAACAAATTAAAAATACCAGGAATACTCAATATTATTTTTAAGTAAGCATGAAAACGTCATCATTCAATAAATCTTTAGCCTCAATGCGAACAATTATTCATTTTTTCAATACTGGGAACCAAAATCTCAAGCCCAGACTAGGGTTGGGAGGGGTAGTGACTTGAACCTGCCTCGCATCGGGCCAGTAGGCCTGCTGTAATAGTCTTCTTTCTTATGTTCTTATATATAATTTTCACAGGTTGACTTGAGTATAGGTGGGTTAGTGACTACCACTTTCTCGTGGCGTCCACTGATGGGCGCCAGGAATATGATTGGTATACTGCTAAACAAGTATTGTGCCAAGCTGGGCAGGGGATGGCAAGGCCGTCAGTATTGAAACGCGCCACTGGAGAACAAAATCATCTCCGAAATAATTTACAAAGGTCAGTCTGGACGTCAAGCATTACTTCTTTTTGTTGTGTTTAGGCCACTCTAATATCACATGGATTATCATCACAAAGATATTAATAAGAATGTTGGTTTTTTATTCTTTCTAACTTCTTCTTCTTCTTCTTCTTTTCTTCTTCTTCTTCTTCTTCTTCTTCTTCTTCTTCTTCTTCTTTCTTCTTCTTCTTTTCTTCTTCTTCTTCTTCTTCTTCTTCTTCTTCGCATATTTTAATTTTTATTATTATTATTATTATTCATTATTATTATTATTATTATTATTATTATTATTATTATTATTTTATTGTTATTATGTTATTATTATTATTATTATTTTATTATTATTATCTGTTATTATTATAAGTATTATTTATTATTATTAATTATTATTATTTTTATTAATTATTATTATTTTATTATTATCTATTTTATTATTACTATTATTATTATGTAGGTCATCGAGACAACAAGTCGTGGAGGCTCGATCCTCCTGGCTAATCGAGCTCTCTGTAGCAAAATTGCTGCCTGAAAAAATCTAAGTTTCCGAATATTGGTTATACTAGAAATCCAAGTCTTTGTGAAAACTTGAGTTCTCCAGCAACAATTATGAGAGATACTCTGCTCAGTGTTCCTTCAAGGGAGTTCCTTTGATGCTGGAAAATGGTTTCTTGATACTTAGAACATGAAGCTACCATATCCTGCCTCATATATACCTTGATTATCCCCGTTTTCCATGTATTGTATTATCCTATGGCTTTGCATGATCTGACTGTGATTCTAGCATGATCATGATGTCTCAATATAGCATGATCTGATGTCTCATCTAGCATGATCTGATGTCTCAACTCTGCATGATCTGACATCTCCATCTAGCATTGATCTGATGTCTCACTCTAGCATGATCTGATGTCTCATCTAGCATGATCTGACGTCTTCATCTAGCATGAACTGATTGTCTCATCAGCCTGATCTGTCTGATGTCTCATCTAGCATGATCTGATGTCTCATCCTCTAGGCATGATCTGATGTCTCATTCTAGCATGATCTGACGTCTCATCTAGCATGATCTGACGTCTATTCTATGACATGGATCTGATGTTCTCATCTAGCATGATCTGGAAGTCTCATCTAGCAGTAGATCTAAATGTCTCTCTTACAGAAGCGGCGTAAAGTACAATCTGGGACAGGGTTACCGCAGCGGTTTAACATTCGCCTGGCCCTCTGGTTTTCCATTTTATGGTCTAAAACTGGTCCCACACAGGGCAGGTGAGTCCCTGATCTCTGGGCATGATGCCAGTGGGCCATTTTTGGATACTTTTTATCACATTAAAAGAAAACCCTTTTATGTTGCAGATGCAACAGTTTCGAATATTTTTTTTGAAAAACTTACCAAAATAATTACCCCATAACTTACTCCATACTACTCCCATAACTTACTCCATAATTACTCCATAACTTACTATAAGTACCTTGATTAATCATTTTTATTTTCCTTAGTCTTGCGGCTGAGTGGCGGCTACGCCTCTCCACAGATTTGTCTCTCTCTTGCCAGACTTGGACTACCCAGCCAGACAACGCTGAGAACGGGACAGGAATTCTGTTCTGGCTAGTACTAAAAACTTCTTCCACGATGGTTATAAGTATGGCATGACGTCGTCTGTCACCACGAGAAACATATCATCTGTTGAACGACGTCAGCTTCTATTATTACGGCTTGAAGAGAGAACCTGCACTAAGATAAGTCACTATGATTGCACGTGATGTCTTTGTTACGGGTTTTGGTCCTGCATTAAAGGTCGGTAATATAAGTCGGCAAACACCATTGCTTATACACACACCGCACAATCATTCTCCTGA